TAGTACGTTATATCTCTCATGTCATTTTTCTTGATTTATAAGTACTATTTAAAAAAAATTGCTAATAATAATGTCTAAATTGTTTGTACATGTAGAAGTTTTTTTCTTGCTAAAATGTTAAAAACAAAACTAAATTATTAAACGATAACGACTAATACTCTATCTACGTCTTACATAAATATGCCAACTTTCACTATAAATAAATTGAGAAAATTATTTCAAATAATTTATTATTGTCTATGAATATTTAGAAAATATTAATATTTTTAACATACAGTGACATAATTTTAGACAACTTATTATTTTTTAAGATGAAACTATGTTAAATTTTATTTGCAGACAAAAGTTTTTTAAAGACATAATTTATGCTCAATCTTGAGTAAACTAGTAGATAGTATTTAATATTGTATATGTTAAAATATATATTCTCCTTAGCGAGAGTAAAACATGTAGTCTTTATTGGAAATATATGTAATTAAACAATGATTTACAAGTAGTTAAGAATGTTTTTTATTTCTATAATTTTGACGATTTTTTTTGTTAAATTCTAATACATTTTGATTCTTAAATTTTATAAATAAATGCATGAAATCATTTTCATCTAATGTTAAATTATTTTCAAATATCAAACACATTTTCTCAATAACAATGAAATGAAATGATATGAAATAGTGTAAACAATTCAAAAATATGTTAGAAATACGTAAAATCATGTAAATATTACATTAAAACTAAAACATGAAAACAGTATAAACAACAACTGAAATATCAAAATGTTAGAATCATATAAAACAGAGTAAATAACTAAAAAAGTGCTAATACGTTAAAAATATGTAAAATAGTATAAATAACTTAAATATTAATATAAAACGATTTAACACATAAAAAAATTAATATAATTCAATAAAAATAATTATATATATATATATATATATATTTAAAATTAAAATGTATCAAAATTTCAGAATTTCATGTTAAATATTAAAGAAAAAAACATATTTAATCTTCTACAAATATCTCTTGTAATTTTTAGTCCATAATAATATTATTTGTGTGTGCTGTAACTTGTGTGTATTTTGTTTTTCTCAATTACTAAATTTAAGTTTATACCTTAAAAGGTTTCAGGTGAAAAAAATCAATAAGTTAATTAGTCAATAAATAGTTATTAGTCAATTCTCGTAAAAGTACATAGTCCCTTATATTTTTTGTTGAATTATTCGCCAATCAATTTGATGTTCTTGATTTTGGAAACCACATTATTCATTATATACAATAAATTATAGATTAAATTAATTGATACGAATTTAAATGATAATAAATAAATGAGTCTTACTATCAGAATAAATTTTGTTTTAGTAATCAAAACAAATTTAAAATCTCGTTACGAAAACTTCCAACTAATTTTCTTTTTGAACAAATAAAGCATTTAGTTTTTTCAATATTAGAATAAAATAATAATAATAATAACGTTTGTAACTGAATTTGTGGAAGGATTATTAATGTCAAAAATTGAAACAATCAACGTTAATTTTAGACTAATTGTTTTATAATTTAAAGAAGAAAAAGTAATAATCACAGTCATAGGAAACTCTTTGTAAGATATTTCACCCTTCTGTTTTATTTTACTCAAAATTACAAAACTAAAATAAATATTTAAATATTATTAAATATATTTTTAATTTCTAACAAGAAACTGAAGTTAATTTTATTTCATGTTTTATTCTTTAAACTTTAAAAATAAATAAACGTTAAGTTAAAAAGCTAAATCTATTGTTTAGCAATTAAAATATATTAAAATTTGAAAACGATAAATTATAATTTTATAGCTAAATTTAAAGATTAAAAAGATATCTAATTTAAAATGAAATATTTATAAATATACATAAAAGGTAAAATAAATAAATAAATTGTTATAAATTAAAACTAATTTAAACTTAGGATAAAAATAAGTTTTAGAAAAAACATTTTAAAATTTTATAAATATTTATAATAAAAGGTTTATTCAAATATGGGGTATGTAAGTATTACTATGATGAAATTGGAAATTTGAAAAGGATTTGTTTGGGTTGGAATAGAAGGAGATCGCAAAATGATTGTTGGAAGTACTTACGACGTCACTAAGAAGAAAAAACAGAACGCGAAAGCGGAAAAAAGCAAATCTACGTTGGAATCGCGCTTTTCGTTGTTTGGAATTGTGCGATGCAAGTTCCTCTTTCTGTTTTTATTCTTTGCTGTAGTTACTGTTCACACAGAATCATTTATCATCATTGCAAAACCAAGCAATACAATACAAAAAATGTTTATGATTGTGAATTGAATATAAATTAATGCATGTATGTATGAATGTATGGTGCACCTTCCTTCATTCCTTTTTCTCTTATTTAAAAATATTAAACAAACAAACAATAACTGCTTCCACTTTTTTATAGTTTATGTCAATCATACTTTTTTTCGATTCTAAATGTTTTAATACACAAATTTTTTATATTTACTTTATATTATTTTTAAAAAATTTATTTCATTCTTAAAAAAAATACAAAAAATTATTATTTTATAATTATTTTATTCCTGTAATACGTGTCAACTAAATACAAATGAATTTTATTTTATCATTATTTAAATAATTTTTTATTAAAAAATGGAATATCTTGACTTAACTCTTTAGGAGATAAAATCTTTAAGTTTTGGAAACTAAGCTGTGAATTCGAATTAGAAAATAAATAAAGGAAAGAACATGTATAGATTATACCTTTCTAAAAAAATATTAATATTATATAAGCTTTTTAAAAATTATTATTAATATAATAAAAGATGAATTATAATACTATTGAAAATTAGTTAAGTTTATTTGGTAGTACAATTAATAATTAATACTTTTCATAATAGCTAATTTATTACAACATTTTACCAGGGAATATTTAGTAGACAATTTTATTTTTCATTAGTATATTTAAATGTAGTCTATTAAATAAATTTGAGTGTGCAATTAGGTATGATACACCGGTAATAAATTAATATATAAATTAGTTCATCAATGCAATTAAAAATAAAATTATATATACGTAAATATTATTATTTGACTTATTTAAGTTTTAAACTTTTTATAAATTTTAGTATTTTTAACTAAAATTTTATTACTTTTTAATACAAGTACTTAAAATTGTTATATTTTTCTTTTGGATGTCTCTAGTTAATTTAATTTATTGTTTGAGAATGTATTGAATAACAAAGATAGCCACTCTCCTCTATATCAACAGTAGTAATGATATTAATAATTTAGATTATGCATATGATTACATGATTGAATGATATGATTATCTTATTAGATTTTAAATTAAAACAACAAAAGTCATTTATAGTTTTACATTAACACTTCAAGATGAGAATCACATTATAAAGATTAAATGACAAATACTTAATTAAAAATAATTAAACAATAAAGACTCAAGTAAAAAAAAATACAAATCAATAGACTAAAAAATTTAGTAAAAATATAATTAAAAATATCTAAATTTTAGAAGGACTTAATACTTAAATTAAATTATATTATTTTTACTATAAAAATTAATACTCAATTCATATTTTGAATCTTAATTTTTTGAAAATAACTTACATGTAAAATCCACCTAGTTAATAAGAAGAAGACTATTAAAAAAAATTGCTTACATTACTATCTTACCTTTAGTTGCATAGTCTTGGGATTACCTTTTTATACACATTTCAATTCGGAATTTGAAATAAGCAGAAGGTGGTATGCTTAGCAATTTGGGTTGGTGTATTATTTAAAGCCCGGCCCAAACAAGACCCAGAAAAGTGGATCTGATTTCGTGCCCAATCATTTCCATATTCCTAAACATTCAAAAAGGATTTTGTCAATGAAAAGTAAATAAATTTCTCTTTCTGTCTGACAGAAATCTACTTTTAACAATTAACCAAAGTTATTTAGGACTAATTAGCACCAAATATTTTTTTTTATTTCAAAAAATAATTACAGGATATTAATAAAAATTGAACTACAAGATAGGAAAAAAAACAGAACATTTTAACTTATGCCCACCATCATAAGAAAAACGTATTGAGAGATAATAACACTTAATGTATTCAAAGTAAAGAAGTCTTGCTATTCTAACTATCCAAAGTTCAACTCAGTGAATTAAACTCTTAAGTAATATTATTATGTGGTTTACTTTATCTGATTTACTATAAATTAATGATACGGATTAAAATGCAAATGATAACATAATGTATATTGATATAACGTAACGTGGTACCTAAAGATAGAGGAAAATTGTTAAAACACTAAAACAATAAAATTGAAAAATATAAATACCATATCAATTGAAATTTTATTCAGTTAATATTTTTTATTACCGAGAAGAAAAGTGTCATAGAAGAAAGAAGAAAGTGGAAATCCAACCTAAGATTACCCGAAAGAGACAGACAGTTGTGTCGTGTCTATCCGCAGTGACTCACTCACACCTCATCTTATGTCAATAAATATTCCTTCTTTCAAAACTCTAATATTTTAAACACGCTTTAGCAACATAAAAATATCTTTTTATTTATTTATTTTATCACAATTTATTTCATTTAAGAAAATTCATTTTTAGGAATATTTTAATCATTAAAAAAAGGCTAATTTTGTATTGATAAAAAAATAGATATAAAATACGTGTAAAAATTTACTGGGTCTGGTTGATAACGTCACAATCATTCCAGTTATTTTATTACGAGGATTGTTAGAAGAAGAAAAACAAGAAAACAGCAAGAATTTTAGTTTTAAAAATAAGAAAAGTTAACGACGAGATTATGGATTGGTGCCAAAAGTAGAAACTAGGAACAAGTTGGTGGGCGTTGAAAAGGAAGAAGATATGTATTGGATTATGATGCTGAAATGAAGAGCAACCAACCCTAATGGATGAGGGTGCCATGCCACCTCACAAATTCATTTTTTTTTTCTATTATTATTATAATAATTATTATTATTGTTATTGAATTCCAACAGACATGGATATTAAATAACAAGAAAACGTGAGGTTATTCGTGTGGATGAGAAGCATTTTGTGTTATGATAGGTCCATTGGTAGAATGATGTGATTACTGGAATTGAAAGTTTGAGAGAATGGAAAGGGTGTTGTCAGTGGATGAAATATCGGAGCAATATTGGGTGGCGGCGAAGAAGGAATCATGCAAGTCAAAGTCAAAGATGAACCGTAGTGAATCGGAATGGGCCTTTCAGCAGTTTCTTCAGGAAGCAGTTTCTCCTTCTTCATCTTCTTCCTCCGACGTTAAACCCAAAAAGGATCCCGACATCAACATGAACATCCCTGTAACTCTAAATGTCGATTCCCACGATTACCAAACCATTCTTAAAACCAAGCTTAACCTCGCTTGTGCTGCTGTCGCTTTGACTCGGGTATCTTACCTTTTTTTGCTTTCTTCAATGTTTTCTATTTTTCACAATTTCATCCGCAGATTACCAATAACAGTAAATGTTTTGTCGGATAGCTTCGTGTTCTTACCATGTAAAACATCAGTGTTGAATTAGTTTTGCTAAATTTTCGTCTGCTGTTAATGTTTATCTGTGTTCAATCTTTTAAAGCTAGCTTTTTTTCATGGATATGATAGCATGGTATTCCAAAATCGATATGTACTCACGGGATGTAACTTTTACAAATCAAACTTTGAACCTGTGGTTAACTTCATTGATTAATTAACCATTCTTTCTCCCAAATTGAATTGTTGCATCAATTCCATGCTTTTCGTATGGTCTTAAATGTTGTGGTTTCATTTATGTAATGCCTTCACTCTAGCAACCTTATATTTTGTACTGTTTTTCTGTTTCTCAGAGTAATTCCGTATTAATCATCTATTTCTGTCACCTCTTTGTCGTTGGAAATTGAATCGGTATCTCATGTTTTTTTCTTCTGCTGCTTGCAATAGGGATCTTTGGTCAAATCTCAAAATCCGACCACTTTCCCTGACAGTGGATCACAGGCAGCTGTTCCTTCTGAAGTTGGAACCTTGAAAGGTTTGAATTAATGTATAATTTTGGATGCATTTATGATTTTTTTGCACGTGTGAATGAGAGCATGGAAGGTCCTTTGGGAAATGATCGTTCTAAATCACAAAATACAGATGTGGAAGCAGCAACTGGGATTTCATTCTCATCACCTTCCCTGCAAAAGAAACCTGCTGTTGCAGTGAGGCCAACATTAAGTGCATCATCAAGAGAGCAATCAGATGATGAGGAAGCGGAGGAAGAGATTAACATGACTGGAAAAATGAATACAACTGATGCAAAACGAGTAAGGAGGTAACAGACAACAGTCTCGTAATTGACTATATATGTTTAGCATAGAAAACGTTAATGCTTCAGGTCTGAAATGTTAGTTTCTTCAAAGGGAAAAATGTACTTATTGAATATGGAATTTATTGTACCTTGTTTGATTTAAACTCTAACAAAATCGTGTTTTAGGATGCTTTCCAATAGGGAGTCTGCCAGACGCTCAAGGAGAAGAAAGCAGGCTCATTTAAGTGAGCTGGAGACACAGGTGTGCATGTTTCTGTAATAATTTCCTCAAAGAGTTATGTACATTCTGACCTTATATTGTATCTCAGGTCTCCCAATTAAGAGGTGAAAATTCTTCCTTGTTAAAGCGCTTAACTGACGTGAACCACAGATACAACAGTGCTGCAGTTGACAACAGAGTATTGAAAGCTGATGTTGAAACGTTAAGAGCTAAGGTAAATCCTTGCTGCAATGATTTTCAAATCACTTTTATATGATTTAAAAAATAGAGTTTAAGGGTGATGATTTGCTTTGTAGGTGAAGATGGCTGAAGAGACAGTGAAAAGAATTTCTGGGTTGAATCCAATGTTTCATGCAATGACTGAGATGTCATCAATGGAAATAGCAATGTTTGATGAAAGTCGTTCTGAGACATCAGGTGGTGGTGCTGTTCCTGTGCAAGAAGACACAAATCATAAACTTAGTGAAGCGAGTTCGAAGAATGGATTCGGAGGCATTTCTTCAGTGAAAAGTGTGCAGCAGAAAGTGGTAGGTTGGAACAAAAGTGGGGGAGGAAATTCCCTGCATAGAGTTGCTAGCTTGGAACATCTTCAGAAGCGGATTCGTGGTGATGAAGATTCACGTGGAGAGCAATAACATAGCCAAATTACATTATGGTTTCATGAGGAAACTATTCTAGGCTCTTGTTTCTGCTAGTTGTAAGTAACAGTAAATTCTTGTAAATCAATTGGATGCATGTGAAGGATATTGAATACTGTTATTTTCCTATTTTATGTGGACCCCTTCAAATCTTAATACATGCCTAATGTGTAACATATATTACTTAAAGACATCATGGTCACAAGAGTCTCAAGTGTTTGGTAGAGGTTGCCTTATCCAAATTAGTGTTTATCCTTTGCAGTTATCTTGCTAGCATGAAATATGCCAAATATAATCAATCATCTAATCTTATTTGTATTAAAAATTTAAATTTTGAATTTAAATCTTATATTGAATAAATATTAAAAAATTGAACATTATATATAAAGAAAATCTACATTTTTAAAATTTTTCATCGAAAATGATAGCAAATCTAAAGGGAATTCAGTTTGTGTGTTATTAGTTAGAATCTAAAAGACGTCACTTTGAAACTTGTTAGTTATGCACCCTTTTTGTGCCGTCTCTAAATTGTGTTATCGATGTGTTCAATATATATATATATTCCACTCGTGAAACATGCAATCATTACATAGTATCTACTTTTGAGGCTGTAAGGTTCTGAATCTGTTACTAAATCTTTAACGAGTGTTTGGTGGAGAGAGGGAGAAAGATGGACGGAGCATAGTTGTTCTTTAAACGAAAGAGGATGAATAAAAGGATAACATAATTTCACAACATTTTTTTATAATATTTTAACGTATGATTTTTGTGATTGATCTAAAATTACTATACAATCAATAATAATAATCATAAACACCACAAACTGGTGTTAAAATATTGTTAAAAAAATATTGTCAAAATATTATTATCCTAAATAAAATTAGTAATTTATCTTGTATTTTGGACTATATTGAATAAAGTGATGATATAATAGATTTTATATTATCTAAATAATTTATTTTTCATTGAAACACTATAGTTACATAACTTTCGATTATCTTCTTACTTATTTTTATTTTATCAAACATCTAATGTTAAGTTTTATTTCCTATTTATTTTATTTTTCCCAATTAATTTCTTTTTATTTTTATTCTATTATATTTTGTTTCTCAAAATTTGTTCTTATAGGGTTAGGTTGTACTTATGAAATCATTTCAACCTCTTATAATATAAACTAATTAACTCAACATGGAATTATTTATAATTTACAAGAAAAAAAGAATGAATTGTATTACATAGAAATTAATAAAGACCATAATTATATAGATAATATAAAATATATTATATCATCACTTTATTCAATATAGTCCAAAATACAAGATAAATTACTAATTTTATTTATCCTTGGTGTAATAATTTCCTCCTACACACATGATAAAGGAATGAGAAACTTAACTATCTACAAATAATGTATATATTTTCAGCCAATTCAAACGAAAATAAAACTCCTTAAATTATTTTGAATTTGGAATTCATTTCAACATTTGTTTTTTATATATAACTTTAGTGTTTCTATCTTAAATTTTCTATTGAGTAATTTATTTTTCATGCCATTTTCAACGTGTGTATGGCCTTTATAATTTGTACGAACGTGAATATAATGAAACAAATTTAACATATTAAATCAATACAAACAATATTCAAAATCGTGTCATAAAATTTAAAAAACAATGATTATTTGAAAATCGCGTTAATAATGCCAGTTTAGAAAACGGAAGACTGAAATGAATATAAGAAAAAACAAAATTTGGTAAAAAAATAAAAAATAAAATTAGATTTGAGTGGAAACTGAAATGTACGTCAGCCAGCTTTTAAAACTCCATGAAAACACAGAAAAGAAATTTCTAATTCTCTCTCAAATATTTTCTCCATTTTTTTTATAGAGCAGCCCCCAAAATTTGTAGTTGAGACTGCTCACTTAATTTATTGATCATTGCAGTGAATAAAATTTAACACGTGATGGATAGACACAACACAAGAAAGTAAAGAAGAGGTTGTTTTGTTTGTTTGCATTACCATGTGGTCAATGTTTTTTTTTTTCTTGATTAGGGTTTTAGGTTATTATCTAATTTGGAAAATATAAACAAAAATCGTAGCCACAGAGGAGGAGAGAGAGAGAGAGAGAAATGGAGATGAGGATGACGAGCTGCGTTGGGTTTTCGAGTTCAATCCCAAAAGCCGCAATTGGGTTGGGTTCGTCTTCATCTTTGTGTTTGGGAAACCCGAAATTGTTGAATTCAGGAGGTGGAAGGGTTAGTATAGTGAGCGTTAATGGTGGGAGAAGAAGAAACAGAGGCTTAACTTGCAACGCTCTTTTCGGATTGGGCGTGCCAGAACTCGTCGTTATTGCCGGCGTGGCAGCGCTGGTTTTTGGGCCCAAGAAATTGCCGGAAGTGGGTCGAAGCATCGGCAAAACTGTGAAGAGCTTCCAGCAGGTAATTGTTTTCCCCTTCTTCTCTTTCACAATCAATCATTTCACATTGTAGCATTCTTATATTAGATTTTGGGATTGATTAGACTTAATTCAAATTATACTATCTTAGTAGTTGTGTTGTTAATCTGGAATATTCAAATCTGTTAATTTTTTACACTTGATATTCTGGTCTCATGACTTGGTGTGTGTGTATAAGGCAAACAACAATCACTCTTTAGCTAGCTAATTTTTGGATCTTGTTAAAGCGAAACTCAAATTCAATGAACTTGAAAGGGGAAATTACAATGTGATGAAGAAAGAGGACAGAGGAAAAATTATTTGGATTCTGGGTTTGACTTAATGGTTAAAGATATGTTTGTGAAGTGTTGTGTACATTTATTTTATTGCTGGTTATGGTGTTTTTGTGAATATCATAGGCGGCAAAGGAATTTGAGTCGGAGCTTAAGAAGGAACCTGATTCCACAGAAGAGGACTCTTCTGAGAAACCTATTGCCATTGGTGAACAGGAGAAGCTGGACAATGAGTTGTCTAGTTCTAAGGAGACAGCATAAGATTGTAGATTAGATATGATAAGTAGGTACCAAATCATCACCATGACATTACTATGCCTTTAAAGAAACTATTCTTCTTTACGATCTGTTAGTTTAGTATTTCTGGGATTTTGAGTTTCGTTGTTTAAATCATCAACCAAACTTTCAAATAAAAGATATCATGAGAGGGGTACTAGTTTTGGTTGGTATTGCTCAAATTTGTTCACTCCACTTTCCTTTTGTAATCCGTGTCCTTTAGAGTAACATTATTCGCACTGTCAATGTACTTTTACTTCCCCCACGTTCAGTTTAGAGGAATGGGATCAAATCTTTCATTTGTTTCAATTGTTGTCTATACAAGTAAAATGTCATTTTGATTCATGAAAATAATTCTATAGGTCACATTCGTTTTCATGATAACTTGGGATTTTAAATGTTAACGAAAAACACGTTGAACGTTTCTTTATGCTAACGAAGAACATGCATGACATGACGAGTTAAAGATCATGGTGGAATCTTAACTAACATGAAAACTCGATTACTAGATTCATCTCCATCGTCAAAATCATGAACTAATTTTCGCTTGTGCTTGATGCGCTTAATGTCAAACTCACGGTGCATGAAATGACAGAAGTGCGGATTATTACATAGCTAAGTGGTTGTGTTACGATTCAATTGAAGAATTTTTCGATTTAATGCATCACACTGTTCATCCCTTATTCCATTGTGACAACACTTTCCCGTGTATGAGTTGAAATTCTAGGCAATTTAACGTAACAATCAATCAGAAATGCTTTGGCACTATTACACTTTGTCATTTAATAGTTATACTTTCTGGATATTTAAATACTTTAATGTTTTCAAACAGTGGTACATAGACCAAATGGGTTGAGCCATGCAAATTTACAAATACACCATATATAAGTTGAATTTTGAAAATTTCGTTCATATAAAGTTAGGACTTCAGAAATTTCAGTAAGAAATAAAAGGGCATTAAAAAATGTCAATGAATATTATCTTCATTTCTTCTAATATGATTACTTTTTTTCTCATTCCTTGCAACACTTAAAAAAAATTATCTTGTCACTGTTATTCTTCCTCACCCAAACAAAAAAATAAATATCTTCCTATATTGTAGTGAAACAATACATATATTACTGAATCCTCAATCAAATTTTGGGTAGAATCTTAACTAACTTCTCTTCACGAGACTTTTAATATTTCTAAATACAGAAAAAAAATACAACTTTTTTTTCCAAATTAAAACTAGTATTTTCCAAATAACCTATACAAATTCAAGTGTCCCTGAGCTATTTCAATGGTCACAAGGATACACATTACAAAATTAGGAACCTGGCAAATGAGGTTATTGCAAATTACACTAAAGCAAACTTCGGTTGAGAATGAGAGCATCAAGGACAAGATCAACTCAAAATTAAATAGACTGCAAGTTCTAATAACATGCAAGTGTTGATTGTCATAGAGAGGAAGCGTAAAAAAATTCCTTTACTAATTCATTTGATGTCATCTGTACAATAGCGCCCCAGCCAAAAAGTTATGCCATGATATTACACTATCAGCAAAGATATTGTACAACCTAGATTATCTGAGAAACTTGGAATACTCGTTATATATATTTGGTTAGTAATCTAAAATTGGTGCCCGCAAATCTAAGCTTGACTATCAAAATTCATTTTATCAAAATCACCTGTGCACATTCTCCATTACAGCAAAGCTCATCTCCAATAGAACTGCATAACCTACGGAGCAGAAGAAACGTGCTAGGATGGTGGGGCATACTTAAACTCAGCATGGCACCAATATAAACCAAAATGCATTATTGACAGCACTAACCCAACACATATATGCAGAGTAGATATGACTGCTATTAATACTAACGAAACAATCACGTTGCTCCAGAGCTGGCTGTAACCCCATTACCATCTCTCAGCCCTTGAATGCACACATGCAGATTTCTTTGTACACTGTCCGCAACTAATTTCAACCTACCTTGACTTATATCTGCTGCTGAGCTCCCATTAACCTCCACCGCTCGTGCCACCCTCTGTTTGCATTTCTCCCAATCATCAACACGCAACCAACAGGCCCTACCACCATGGCTACCATTCATGGCAACAAATGATACATTAGAACTTTCACCAAATGAATATCTCAATCTTACTGAAACACAGTACGGCAACCAT